TCTGTTGCTTTTTGCATGATTGAAGGACACCCGTATGATTTAAATAAAAAAAGAAATAAAAGAAAACACTGTTACTATTTTTTGTGCTCTCTTTTTCCATGGTTTAGTGAGGGAGAGAGAGAGAGAGAGAGAGAAAAAAAAAAACTGGTTCACAGAGTATATTGTGAGAGAAAAATCAATTTGTAGTCTAGAGAGAGAGAGAGAGAGAGAGAGAGAGAGAGCGGTAGAGGGTCTTCCCTTCACTTGGTTCACCACCTGCTGCTTCACTGTTTTTCAAAAATCACACTTTCTGCTGCACTGTTTATCTTTTTTGCCTTTTTATTTTTCATCACCTTAAGCAATTTCTAGGTGGTGGTGTGGGGTACATGATTCATTATTGACCTTTAATGCTCTTTCACTCGATTTTGCTTTGAAGTCTCTTAAAAGGTACCTTCCTCCTTCTCACTGTTTTCTAGTTATGTTAATCCGCAATTACTAAGGCCATTATTTTCCTTTCATTTATCCTCTAAACCATCCTTGTAATACTCTAGTCTACCTTCAGCTCCACTTTACACTGTTAAGAGCTCTTTCTAACTCACTCGCTTTTTTCTATATCATTAGGCATACATGTGACTGTTTCCCTCTGTTGGTCCTCTAGTTTCTCACTCTTTCTCACTTTCCCTGGCACTTCACTTGAGATTTGGGATCTGGGTCGTACTCAGATTTGGGTTTTTGCTTTGTGTTTCTTTTGTTTCTTAGTGATTGTTGACTGCTTGTTTTTCTTAGAGAAAGACAGTTTCAGTTAGAGAAAGAGAGAGATCATGGCAGGAGGAGGAGCTCCGGCGCCGAAAGCAGATGAACCGCAGCCGCACCCACCAAAGGATCAGCTACCCAACATTTCTTATTGCATTACAAGTCCTCCTCCGTGGCGTGAGCATCTTTGCTTCGCACTTTACTTTTATGCTTTAATGAGCTTTCAACTAGTTCTGTAAAATTATAGCTTCAAAATTCTGTTTATTTTTTGAGATATAAATTGGATTTTCACGGAATGTTTTTGGTTCTGAGTGAGTGACTGTGATTCCCGTGAATCCAGCTTAGGAATATTTTAGATAAGCTTTTGGTATTTGTTCTTTTGAGAGGAAGTCTTTTGGTATTTGTTATTGTGTTGGGTATGTGCTTTTCTCAGTATTTCTTTAGCTGAAAGTAGCTTTTTGGGTCCTCTTTTCTTTTACTAGATATTTCTTTTCAAAAAGCAAATGCTCTCTTCTGAAAACAAGTTCCCGGTGTTTCATTGTTTTAATATTCTAATTTTGTGAAAAAACAAAAAAGAAAATAAAGAAGAGAAAACCCAACCACCCTTCTTATTTAAACATCTTAGAATTTTAATTATATTCTGCTGATATGTTTTAGCCTCCTTTTTCGTTACTGTTCAGGGAACTTGGGAACTGGATTTCTCTGTCAGTTGTACATTAATTAATCGGCAGATTCTATTTCCAACAAATTGGAATAATTTTTTTCCTTTATTATTAATTGATTTCCTCTTGATTGAATCTCTTTTTTCACTTATCATTATGGCTCATCTGCACAAAGATTTTGTCTCATTTTGGGGTTGCCTGCATCAACTTCTGTTGCCATTTTGATATATGTAAGGAACTTTCAACAAATGTACTGTTGTGGTTCAGAAAAATTTACCATACTACTCTGGGTAAATTTTTGTAGTCAAATTATCTTTGCTTGTCTTTTTCTTTTATCTTGACTGGTTGTAGCTTTCATCGTAGAGAAATTGCATTTAATTTACTGAAACTCTGATTCATGTTTGTTGCAGCGGAGGCTATACTACTTGGCTTTCAGCATTATCTTGTGATGCTTGGCACAACAGTTCTTATTCCTGCTTCACTTGTTCCGCAAATGGGGGGTGGAAATGTAAGGCATTTCTAAAAGAACTAACACGCCTATTCTATGACATGTATTCTCTCTTTAATAATATTCCACAATATGATGAGAATGATCTTTCCATTCTCGTAGGAGGAGAAAGCGAAGGTGATCCAGACATTGCTTTTTGTTGCTGGTTTGAACACATTGCTGCAAACATTGTTTGGAACTAGGTTACCTGCTGTGATTGGAGGCTCCTACACCTTTGTCCCAGCCACAATCTCAATTATTCTTTCTGGCCGATTCAGTGACGTTCCAGACCCTATTGAGGTTTTGTGACCTACATCCAATCCCGTTTTATAACGTGATATCAGTGGAACATTCAGTTTGTGAATAACATGTTTATAGTAACTGGATGATGTATAATTAGACATCCAGAATGCACGTGTTGCAATATATAGTGTTCGTTTTCTTGTCAATGATTATTTCAGAGAAAAAGGAGAGAACTAGTGCTGAATTATTGTATGACAATCTGCATAATTCCCTTCCTATTCCATGTAAAAAGTTAATGACTTAAAAGAAAGAGGATTATTGTGAAAAGGAAGCACCATGTTGGTTCCATTGATGATCATCAGTTTCTGTCTTAGTAAGCTGTAATTGTGTTTTTGATTCATTTCCAGAGGTTTAAGAGGACAATGCGAGCAATCCAGGGTGCCCTGATTGTTGCGTCCACTCTTCAAATTGTCCTAGGCTTTAGTGGCCTTTGGCGAAATGTTACAAGGTCAGTTTGGAACGTAAATTAGTTAATACTAATAATAATTAATGAAGTTTCTTAATACAGCTAAGGTTCATATTTTCCATGTAATTAATTGGACTGTGTACCAGATGCCATGTGTTAGAATAAAAATCTTCTCGGGAAATTTATTATTAGAGCTTTAAGTTCTCTCTTCAAGCCTTATCCTTGCTTTTTCTTTATATATTTTTTTGAAGGTTGTCTTTTCTGTATATTTCCGCTGCCTCTCTGCATTTGTATTATGTAGTTCATATATGGGGTTTGATCTATGCTTAATCTCACTTGCAAGTGCAAGGAGGTGTTAGAATATTATATAGAAATAAGTGGAACATTTTCCAATTAGCTTAAGCATTGAAAAAATTTGTTACTAAACTATATTATTTCGCAACATGGACAAAATATTTTTCTGTTTCCTTCGTCTTAATTTATTTATTTGAAATATATATGATTTTGATTCAAAGATGATTTTCATTGTTGTTTGTTTGCTTTATAATAATATATTTTTTGTGTTTGATTCATTTTTAGCATCAACCCAAAACTTCAACATGCTCTAGCTGCTTCAGAGTCATTTGGGCTTACTTTTCCTTGTTTCAGGTTTTTAAGTCCACTTTCTGCTGTTCCTTTGGTTGGTCTAGCTGGTTTTGGGCTGTATGAGTTTGGTTTTCCTGGGGTAAGTACTCATTTGTTTCATATATGGGGACACATGAAAACCACATATACATGCTTTCCAAATAATCTCATCATCTTGGATATTGACTGCTGTCTTGCACCTTTCAGGTAGCTAAATGTGTTGAGATTGGCCTGCCCGAGCTTATCATTTTAGTATTTGTTTCACAGGTAATGTTTAATAACATGTGATATGTTGCACATGTTGTTTCCCAAAGGAGTTCTAATGATTCTATGTATCTTAGATTTTGCTACTTCTAACATGCTGATGCTTTTAGAAAGCAATGAATATTAACAGGGTTAATATTTGTTACTTTGTTGCTTTGCAGTATATGCCCCATGTTCTACATTCAGGGAAAAATATATTTGATCGTTTTGCTGTCATATTTGCCGTGGTGATTGTGTGGATTTATGCTCACCTACTTACTGTTGGTGGAGCTTATAACCACGCTGCCCCAAAGACACAAGCTAGCTGTCGTACTGATCGTGCTGGTCTTATTGATGCAGCTCCATGGTAAGTTTTTGGCTACATCCTTTGATCAGTGTATATCTTTCAAATTTCTTCATCTGCAAATCTTGGAAATGAAGTCTTGACTTGTAATAGCTACACTTCTTATAATTTAAAACTCCGGCTTGACGTTCATGATCTCTAGAACCTGGTTTTGAATGAGTTTAGCTATTTGTAATGTATGTATGTCTATATGTAATATTACTGATGGTTGTTTCATTTCCTAATATAATTGTGTCGCTAAACTCATTGCTCGAGTTTATCCCAATAAATTGAGTTGTTAGAGTAATGGCTCAATCTCCCTTTTTTCTTAAAGGGAGTAACAAATCTCTGTCATAATTATTATGTTTATATTTTTTAACGTTTTTAATGAGTATGTATAGCTATTTAAAGATTAGCAACCTTTTCGTACTTCAAAAAAATGAAAATATTAGCAACCTTGTATCCAAAGGGTTGAGTTATATGGTAAAAAAGTGATTCTTCACATGATTGGAGAAACATTGTAATGCAACAAGTTCTAATTATATGTTGTGGAACTCCGAATCATTTATTATTTTCTTTATGGTGATTATTGCTTTTAGTTTTTTATTAATGGTTTCATATTGAACAATTCAGTTGTTACTTTCAAGCAGTAGTATGGTGCACTCTCAATACTGCTTTACCATTGTGTGTATATGTGTGAGTAGTGTGCAATCCCTAGATAAGCATGACTTATAGCCATTACCTTCCATGGTTTTCAGGATAAGAGTTCCATGGCCCTTTCAATGGGGACCACCAGCATTTGATGCCGGTGAAGCTTTTGCCATGATGGTGACTTCTTTTGTTGCACTGGTTGAGGTCTGTTTACTTATTTCATTCCTTTTTTTCACCTTTTAAACTAATAACGAACTAAATCATTATTCTTGTAATTGTTGTCGTCATCATTATCATTACCATCATCAGCATCATGTGTTATGATGCCAGTTTCTCTAATTCCACATTGTTTTTCACACACCACCTATTTATTTCATTCTTCTGATTGTTTCAACAATGGAATTTGTATATCCATTATAATATGTTCAAGTCATGATTCTGCAATTATGCATGCACTGAAAATATATTTTTCCTTGCTATAATGTTGGTTTTCCATTGAATAGTTCATCTATTTCATACAAAAGTTTTTGTAATTCTGAACTTCATATTCTGTTTTTTTCTTCTATTAGATAATATTTCCTTGAATTACTTGATTAGCATGTGTTATTTAATTTATCAAAGCTTACTGGTTTCTCACATATACCTAATGATATTAACAGTCCACTGGTACTTTTATTGCGGTCTCAAGGTATGCTAGCGCAACGATGTTGCCATCTTCTATTCTCAGCCGCGGTATTGGTTGGCAGGTACTTATGGCGCTTGCTCACTTGTTATTTCATAATGATCTTGACAAACTTGATCAGTTCAAATTTGTTAAGGATTCTTAGCTATAAAGTGGATCTATGTGTGGATCATGTTGTGCGATCAATACTTTTTAACTTCACATGTATGTGAAAAATATCAAAATAAGTGATACTATGAAACTTGATAATTCAAGTTTAGGGTTATTGGCACTTAAACCTGCTTTATGCATGAATCATATTATTAGATCAATATGTTTTGATTTTACATGTATATGAAAAATTTCAAAATAAGTGATCTTGTCTTATTAATCTGTTTAGTAATCAATTATTCCCTTCAACCAAAGACCAAGTAGCAAATGAATATTTTTTTTTTTTAAAAGTGCGAAGTGTTTCATTTACTTTATGCACAAAGGGAATGCAAACCCATGCACAAGTAGCAAATAAATTTAAAGAACATCAGAAGTGACTGGATGCTTGAAATTCTAACCAATTGATTTGGAACAAACTAGAGAGAGAAATTTGTCATTAAAAAGAAAATGTAATTCAGAAATTGAGGATGGAAATCATTCAATTGAATAATTTCAGAACTCAATAAAAGCAAAAATAATAAAACCCTTCTTCAAGTAGATAAGGTTAACGGCCATCCTTGGGGCTGTCCAGCTGATGCAAGGATGACGCCCCCCGTAGTCAGGTATAGTGCAAAATATTTGTTTTCTTTATGTTATGATCTGCAAGTGATGCTTCTGTGCAAAGTTTTTGGACTTCCACCATAGCTGAATGCTAAGTCCTCATGTTCTAAATTAACATACTTCCTTTCTGGCTTAGGGAGTTGCAATTTTGATTTCTGGGCTGTTTGGCACTGTGAATGGATCTTCTGTTTCTGTGTAAGTTTCTTACTTGGGAAACAGTTCTAGTGCACTAGTGTTTGCATTCAATATATTGAAATATAAATTTCCATGTTGACTTGTGGTTTATTTTCATAGAGAGAATGCTGGTCTTTTGGCCTTGACACGTGTTGGCAGCCGAAGGGTTGTTCAAATATCTGCTGGCTTCATGATTTTCTTTTCTGTTCTTGGTAAGCTGTTAATTTCTGAGCTTCTGATTAAACATGTCCACTTTTCCATATTTCTTTTGGAGCATTTTGTTCATGTTTCCATCACATAAATATGCAGGAAAATTTGGAGCAGTCTTTGCTTCAATTCCGGCACCAATAATTGCTGCTTTGTACTGTCTCTTCTTTGCTTATGTTGGTATGAACCTTATCTTTCAACAACCAGCACTATAAGTATCTGATTCACACACTTATAGGTAATTATGTATTCTGTTTCATTGTAATCTACAGGTGCTGGAGGTCTAAGTTTTCTTCAGTTTTGCAATCTTAACAGCTTCCGGACAAAGTTCATACTAGGCTTCTCCATCTTCATGGGCTTGTCTGTGCCACAGTACTTCAACGAGTACACTGCAATTAACGGTTTTGGTCCAGTCCACACTAGGGCAAGATGGGTATGCATACATTATTAACCCTTAGATCTGGAGTGTCTTAAATCTAAATACAATTTTGCTAGAATCATGTTATAGTCAGTTGAATTCCACTAATCAACATTCCATGTTTTCTACTTGGCAGTTCAATGACATGATAAATGTCCCTTTCTCGTCGGAAGCATTTGTTGCGGGCTGTTTGGCCTTCTTTTTAGATAATACATTGCATCATAAGGATGGTGCCATCAGGAAAGACAGGGGTAAACACTGGTGGGATAAGTTCAGGTCCTATAAAAGTGACACAAGAAGTGAAGAATTTTATTCACTGCCCTTCAATCTAAACAAATATTTCCCATCTGTGTGACGTGCCCGTGCCAGAATTATGAGTTATTAGGTGATGCTCTAAAATATGGTTTCCTTAATATCTTCTGAATTCCTCCTTTCTGGCTCACATGTTTAATCACATCAAGGATCACTTCTTAAAAGCCTGTAACATGATATTGCTCTGTATAAGATAGTCTCCTTTATAGGATGCCTTAGAACATTTGTTGAATTGTTTTTCCTTGCTGTAAATCCAATGGGAGGTGTGGATTTTATGTATCAATGAAGCGATTATATTGCTTTGTCATTCATTTTAATCTATTTCGTAATCCGGTAGCGCACTAATTAACTGGGATGCTGTTTAAAGCATTATATTCCCAATCTGGTTGATTAGGTGCTGCATCTAAACAAGGAAGTTATATATATATATATATATATATATATATATATGTATCAATATTAGGATAAGAAGGAAGTAAGTTCATGTTTTTGTTTGCTTTTTCAGATTGTGTAATATGGGTGCAGATGTCATGGGATGTGGAAAGAGTCTGCAAGAAAATAGAATTGTGTCAAGTTTGTTTTGTTGTGTTGTTTAGGTACGTGGACTGGGATGTAGGTAGTAGTTGTGAATGAGATAAGGGTGTGTGATGGATGACTGATGAGCTCAAAATTGACAGGGTAACTGCTGCTTTTTAAGGCATACTTTATGGGCAAGCAAAGCAATGTGTCAAAACCATGACCATTAGCTTGGAAAGTGGTTTTTTCCTTTTTCTTATTTGAAGAAATTTAATGTTGGATCCAAGCAATGTTTAATTTAAGGGTTGGATGATCACACACAAACCAAAACAGATGCTTACAAATATATCTTGGAATCATTATTACAAGACGTCTGTCTTCTTCAAGTTGCTCAAAGTTGAGCAAGACTAATTCAATCAATAATGATTTGTCAAAAAATATAATATTTTTGTATGATTTATTTTCTTTCTAACCTTTTTAATGCTATCATTTTAATTTTATGCGGACTGAAATGAAGGTAATATTTTTTTTTTTTCAAGTTCACAAAAGGGAATATTGAATCATACATCTCATTTATTTTTATATACTGATAAATTGACTTCTAAATTAATGTTCGAATATCCATCTAAATATAGTGACCCAAGTTTCAAACAATAAATATTTTTTTTGGGTGGGATTAGGAGAAGATATAATTCTTGATTAAAAGAATTGTAAAATAATTTTTAATTTTAATTGAATTAAATATGAATTATAAATAAATTTTAGAAAATTTATAGATTTCTTCTAAAAATAGCACAAAGGAGAAGAAATTAACTACAAATAATAATAATAATAATAATAATTGGATGGGGAGAAAATTGAGAGAACAGAAGAAAAAAAAAAAAAAAAAAAGTTTTGTGTATTCATATTGGGAAAGATTTAATGTGATTCAACATGTTAACCAAAATTTAATTCTTGTTTTGTTAAATTCACTGTTTAATTCTAATGGCTTTGATTGATTTATGATTTAATATTACATTCTTCAAAGGAAGAATCCTCGCAAAGCTCAAGATACCAACTTACTCTTCTTTACTTTGTAAGTACTTATCTGTCATCAATCCATTTCTTTTTCATTAATTCCAAAAAAGAAATTAATGCTTTCAACTCTTAATCCATCATTATGGTGGTACTAATTATGTACTATAAGAGCTGGATTATGCTCTTGCTAATTATTATATTCATTATATGTATAATGTGGTCCAAAAAATGTAAACTATAATTGTTTGTTTTAAGTTGGAGACGCACAAAAAACATTCTCTTTCAGCTTTAATTTTGTATGGAGTATGAACCCATTTGTTTACAACACAAGAGAAAGATCCTAATAAAAAGTTGAATTTTCAGATTTGCTTCATTTATTAAATTAGTAATTAATGATAATAAACTTATATATACAAACACAGCTAAGCTCAATTTCTTCTCTCAAGCAATCCTGGGAATATTCTAAATGCTGTTTAATTCCTAAAATTACACTTTTTTTTTTTTTTTTTTTTTTTTTCCTAAAATTATAAATTATGGCACCATATGGGCCCCTTCCCAATTCAATTCATGAAAAGGAGGAGGAGCTCAATCATACCCATTAGTTTAATATTATATATATATATATATACACACACACATAAAAAAGATCAACCATAAAAGCAATATAAAAATTGGATTTTTCCACATGTATTATGCATATAAATGTAGAGATTACAAAGGAAAAGAAGTTGGAGATCTTCGTAATATGCAGAGGGATTTTGAAATCTAGCTGTATAAGTTGGCCATATTTTTGCACCAAAGAATTTGAACATTGTCTCAATCATTTAATATGTCTTCAATTATTAAATTATAAAAAAAACTATAATTATTTTTTAAAAAATTTCTTTTGGTTTTTGTATTAAAAATTAAAAAAAAAAAAAAACATTAAAATAGATTAATGACAAATTTATTGTTATTTATAGTGGTTTTGATTTAATTAATTATTTTTATGTTTTCATAATTAATTAACTCTTTAAAAAATTTATCATGAATAAATATGTTCATTAAGATAATGAATGGTAAAAATTTGGTATTATTTTATAGGTTTGTATTAAAATTATGTACTTCCCCAGATATATAAGTTTCTTAATTATGTGATTAGCTTAACCAATAATACTTAATTAAATGGAAATTATTTTTATGTATGCACAAGTAGAAAGTAGTGCTTCAAGACATTGAGAAGTGCAGTTTGGCATGTGATCAGGTTAATTTCACGAGGATTAACTTAATCAATATGTGCTGGAAATTTCTTTCTTTTTTTTTTATAAAAAAAACAAAAAAAAAAAAAATTAAACTTATCATTAATTGTTGTATTTTATTTATAATTTAATAACATCTTTCACCTCAAATTTTATTTTGAGTAATTATTCATATTAAAATAAAAAAATATATTCTAATTTTATTAATATTTTTATAATATAAACATCAAATAATTATTTTTTATAAAATAAATATAAATATAATCATAATATTAAAATATGAAGAGTTTTTATCTAATTTACCCTTATGAGTTAAATTATTTGACAAAAAATATATATTTTTTGAATTGATAATCTATATATTTATCAATTAAATAATTTAAAAATTGTAATAATATTATTCTTAAAATAAGAACATATACACATAAACAGACTTTTAATTTAGAAATTTTACGGAAAAAAGAGGGAAAAAAAAAAAAAAAAACATGAACGCCAACTTGCTCTCCGGTTAATTTTCTGTGTTTAACATTTTATGCGCAAATTATTAAATTATCGTTGCACGGTTGCAACTTCATGAATTAATATAAAAAAAAAAATAAAAGTTGTGACTTGATGCAATTAATTAATTAAAAAATAATATTAATCTGAGAGAGTAAGTAGTGGGTCCCAAGAGTTGATCTGTATTATGATCTGATCTGATGTTTTTGTTTCCAAGTTGGACAGCAGAGCATGGAAGCTTATCATGGTCCCCCACCCCCCATGATAAATACTCATTACTCAATTCTGTGGGTAAAAAAGGTAAACAAACATACCTTAAATCATGCTTCCGTCGATAATTAAATCACCCTATTAACCATCAAATTAATTTTGAACTAAGAAAATTGACTAGTATAAATAAAAATAAAATTAGAGAATAAATTATTTTATTAATCCAAGTAGTTTGATGTAATGAATAAATAAAACAAATTAATTACCAATTTTGAAATTAATTATTGAAATATTCAGAAACAAACTTCAACTTAGTCTTTTTAATCTTATTCTAAATCTAATTTAACAAAAATATTTGAATTATAATGAATTCTTTCTCACACTTGAAGCTACATATGCAGTAATTAGTTGTAAAAACATTGATTTTGTTTACTTAAAATTAATGAGCATCATTTATAATAAAAATATTTATGATGTCATAATATACCGCAATACATTTTATTATGCCCACCAACTTACAAAAAGAAGCTTTGGTTTTTCAAAATAGGACGAAAATAATTTAAATAAGTGAGAAAAAAGAAAAGCATTCTCTTGCACACGCGACACGCACTCATTACGTGTCGAGGGATCTGCATGTGGTAGTCGTCACCTGGGACCCACGACCTTAACGGTTGCACACGCTATTTTTCACCCCTCTCTTTTGATGTTCCATCCGGTGACCAACGCGAAACGTCTTCCTAATCTCATCTGCTCACGCTCTTTTAGGCGCGTGCCACTTTACATGATTTATATATTTTTAAAATTACGTAAGAACAATGCATTTTCATATTTATTTTTAGTGAAAATAAAGTTATGGTAAAATGTTTTATGTAATTCAGCTTCTGAATATTAAAGAAGAGTTTTATTTTATTTACAATTAAATCAAGAAATAAATTTTAGTTAAGCAAATTTCGAATTTTAAATTAAATTTAAGTGAAAAATATAAATAGGCGGGTGGTCCCTGGGGACAAAAAAGATTTTGTAATTGTACATAGCACCTCTGGCCCCACTTTCTTTCTGTCTCTTATAGAAAACGACGTCATTTCACGCTATCACAATGACCCTTACATTTCTTTTTTTTGTTTTTTATTTTTACTTTTTTAGATAAAAATTTACACACCAATTTTTTTTTTTTTTTTAAAAAAGTAATTTATTTAACTTAAATTTGTATTAAATACGTTTTTATAATATGGTTAAGACTTACTAACCTTATTTACATCAATCTTAATCAATAATAACACCTCATTACTCTCATAATATAATCCATATTTAAGAAAAGAAAAAGAAAGTAATTAATGGGTTGAGTGGCAATTACAACTAATAATCACATTGTAGTAAATAATGGACTAAAATTAGAAAAGCTTGTCATATAATAAGTAGAAAAGGCATTTTACCATATTTGACAGAGTTGGTGGCTATAAACACACTGTTGAAGCATCTCACTTAAACTTCCTCCTTTCATCTTCACTTTAGGTTTCAGAGCTCTGAAAATGGGTAACTGTCAGGCGGTAGATGCAGCAACACTGGCGATACAACACCCATCTGGGAAAGTAGACAGATTGTATTGGCCTGTGAGTGCTAGCGAGGTGATGAGGACTAACCCTGGTCACTATGTGGCTCTTCTTATTTCCACCACCTTGTGTCCATCAAACTCCAACGCCTCCAATGCCGAATCTGTTCGGGTCACCAGGATTAAGCTTCTCCGCCCAACAGATACTCTTGTTCTTGGACAAGTTTATAGGCTTATCACTACTCAAGGTATAGACGCATCTATATCTCTGTCTGGTCAATTGTTGCATCATTTTGTGCTTTTTTCTGGTGATTTAAACTGGGTGGGTCTTGTTTGGTTTTGTTGGTTTATGTAGAGGTTATGAAGGGATTATGGGCAAAGAAGTGTGCAAAGATGAAGAAATACCAGGAAGCTGATCACAAGGATGGTTTGAAACCAGAAACTATACCAGGAAGAAGATCTGGACCAGAGAGGGATACTCAGGTGAATTAAAATAACCATCAAACAATCCATGACTCATATAGTCTCCATGATTCTTTCTTTGATTTTGTTGTACAAGATTAACTGGCCAACAAATTATTTCACATCTGCTACCTGTTAGAATTTGAGTATTGATTAGCGTATATATAACAAAACTTTTGAGCTACAACTGATATATATATATATATATATATATATATATATATCTACTCTTTAATGATTGACTAATGGTCATGTATCAAGGAAATTCATTACTTTTCTTTCTTGAAAACTTGTTTCTAAATCCTAATATCTCTAAATCCTAATATCCAACATGTTCAGGTTGCAAAGCATGAAAGGCACCGATCTCGAGTGGCAGCATCAACCAATCAAGCTGGGTTGAAATCAAGAACATGGCAACCCTCTTTGAAGAGCATCTCAGAGGCTGCAAGCTGAGTAGATTTCATGTTAACATAACAGAGCGGGACCAAAATTTCTCAAATCACCTGTGGAAATCAAAGGGTTTCACATTCAGGGTGGCAGGTAAAAATCAATGTTAACAAGAAGTTTCAAGTTGGGATCTTTGAGTAATGCACACTTGTATAGGGAACGGTAAATGGTAAAAGCCAACATTACTCTTAATCAACTTATATTCTAAAATGGAAACTATAGTTTCCTTTGAAAACCATTATCATGTTTGCCCAAGTTCTTAAACTTTTTGAGTATTAACAAGGAGGAGGTTCATGTTGGAAAATAAACCACAAATGTAAAAGGTCTAAACTTTTAGTCTCTTAAATTTTTATCAGTGTGGTTAATACCTGAGCCTTGCATATACCAATCTGAGGTCGAAGAATACCCCTATTCAATAGACAAGAAATTCCATTTTAAGTAAATCTTACCCTGATCATACACATGAAATAGTGCAAAAACACGAACACTAGCAATGAGGGAGTTAATATCATTAAGGAATTTTGCAGATAGGCCAGATTTCACTTCAATTGGCCAAATGTACTGTTTTCAAGTCAAGAACCAATTTCTTACTAAAATACAAGGAATACAGCTTCTAATTAATAATCATTGCTTCATCCAAACACCATAAAATAATCAATCACAGAAAAAATTAAGTAGGTATGAAGGGTGATGTCCCTAATCAATTTCATCTCCTAGTAGGGAATGAAGTCAAACAATCGATGAGAATTAACAATTTCCTGTAACAACTATGGCCGAGAGAATTATGTCTCAAAAGCTGGTTTAGCCCTTGTATCATTCACCGTTTTATGGATTTTGTATCTTCTATATGCATAAATACATATCTATATATATATATGTATATATATCTTGTTCACACATTGAACATGAATGTCTGAAGAAATACACAGTCTTTGCTAAACGACATTGGTCTTCAACTAGATTTTACATGCAGGGTAGATTAGATATTTGGTCAACTTGTTTTGTAAAAAAAAAGAACGTATATATATATATATATATCGGAGTTCTTCTTTTTTCTTTTTCTTAAAAAAGAAGTTATCTGCACAGTATCTAACATAAAATAAAACATAACTTATCAGTTTTTGTCCTGATCATGTTCATCTTATCTCATTGTATATATCAGCTATGTTAACATACGTAGGGGTTTCCTTTTTTATATCAAAAGATATAAGTTAAATAACAAGATGTGTTAAGATCACCTACTCGTTAAAACCTAAGCAAACTGGAGAAGTAAACAAATGTTTTGAATCTACTAAATGGTACTAACATCTTACGTATTAGGAGTATGATCAATCCCGTGGGAATCTGGAGTTTGCAAGTTAATAGTCCTCTGTTTAGTTTTAATGGTTTTCCAGAAACCGTAATCTGAAAGGATAACTCCTGATGCGTGAAAGCAACTAGCTCTTTTGATGTTTTAACATATCAAAACTTGGGTGTATATAGCTAAGAAGGTATCTACTGCAACTTTGTCATTAGCAGAAAAGAATAAGATAATAATGATCTCACTCGAAGATAATATTATCAGTAAAGTTAATCATTAGCTCAGGCTAGAATTATTTGGTGGGGACAGCTTACTAAAATTCCTTCAATCACCAGCTCTGCATATTGGACTTTGAGACCACCACCAAATTAATAAAATTTTCATTTGTAATAAAAGCAGCAGTGTTTTTAATTCTTTGTGTTGATATATATATATATATAGATATATATATGTATTCCCTTCCTAGCTCCAGTCTTACAGGGAAGAGCTAGTAAAGCAAGAGATGACCTTTTATTTGCTTGAATAAGAAAAGCGTGTTGCTCCACTTCCTGGACGCTTTTGTTTCATTGGAGTGGGGCAGCTTCAACCAACTCGACCTCAAAACATTCTGCAACTATGAAAACACAATAAAAGTCATCTAGCCCCATAAATATTACATTGAATTCTCTCAATGTGGACCACCAGACTCCTTGTCAAATCAAATTTAAAGCAGTATATAAATTTTGTCTTCGTTTACAACAATCATCCAATATGAGAGGAAGTAAATGTTTGTGAAGGAGTCCTTTAAGTTTGCAGGACTTTGTCATACCTGACCACAACTTGCTGTCTCATAATATCTTGGTGCAAGTTGAAGTCCTCCTCATTAATGTTTGAGGTACATCTTTTAATCAAGGCCATAGAATGAGTGGCTCCCATGAGTAGGGTGGGTCAAATTTCACACTCCAAACAGCTATATCTCATTCTTTTCTAACACAGGACTTGATGCATTATGTGTTTAACACTGGTTGGGGCATCAGAGAACGTAAGATCAACTTTTAATATAGCACTTTGAAATGAAATCATCTTAGCCAAAAAGCGAATTGACCTCATGAAACTTGCTTTGCTTACATTGAAAGTATGAAAGAATTGATAACTAGCAACAATCATTGAAGAGGCAGATTTCTTCATTAAGAATGTGAGAAGACTATAATAATTTCCGTGCTGCAGGCTTGGGAAGTGGACTTTGAAACTGCATGACAATCATCAGCACAAATTTCAAAAACTCGGGTCAAAATTCTGGGCTCCGCAATTATCAACTCATTAAAGCAATTGATAAGATCTCATTGCATCAAGCCGTTGCTTTTTGGTTCCTTAATTTATCAAATGGTTCCAGGATTTCATTTGTCTTCTTTTCAACTATGCAAGGAACTGGATCTAGTCTTCCAAATGTCAACTATCCATACAAAACTCTAAAAAGAGACGGCCGTTAAATGCCAAAATAACAGTTAATGGACTTAATATATATATATATGATTATCCACATGGAAAATTGATCCAAAATAACACTACCATGGGGATTATGCACTTTGATATCCTGAAAACCTAAGACCATTCGTCCAAATCCTATTGTTTCAACTTCCAAGTAAACACATCACATTTGGGCATTTGATCGAGAACTCCATTTGCAGTGTGAATCCCAATTATTTAAGCAAAAAACACACCTAATCAGGTCTAATAATGAATTCCTTCAAAATTTTAACAATTGGAGTCACATCCATTTTCGAGCTCATGCATGGTAAAGGTACGATGAGTGTCAAATCTACTAAAAATAAATTCTTATTTAACTAATAAAATAAAATTGTAATAATGATAAATGGGGTCGAATTTATAGAGAATTGAAAACTAATTTTCTTTTTTGATCAATGAATGAAAAGTAAACAAAAGAATTTTGTAGAATATAATACGCAAAATATAAAATAAATAATAAGTAGAATAATATTAAATAAACTTTTGGTTGTAAGGTAGAAACTAAAAGAATTATAAAAAAAAATTCTTAATTGACGAGATAATTAGTTCCAGTAACATAATTGATTATAAATGTAAGAATTTATTTTATTTAAACCAGTTGTAGTTGTCGAAAACGTTTCGACAACTAATTATTTCTTATTTTTAAACCAATCAAGAAATGTTCATTAGTTGGTTTTTCGCTGCTAAACAGTTATGAGAACGTCAACAAGATTTAACTTGACAATAAACTTGAGAACTAAAAGAACTTGATTCAAGTTGACGTATTCATCCGTGTGAATTGATCAACCAAATTACTTACTTACATTCTTATGTGACACTGATCGTTACTAGGTGTCAGAACCACTTAAACAATTATAGATTTGAGAGGTTCGGTTAGTTGCTTGCTGCCTCTCCAATATTCAACGAGCCCTATTCAAAACCACAAATATGTATAAGTGTAGAAAATAAATAAATATTACAGTTATATAAAATATAGATTAAATTAATTCCATCTCATAAATACATAACTGGAGTTCACTAAATCTCAACTAACAAAAGAAAGCAAGTTAGCCATTCATGATGGTCTTTAATACAAAAGAGTTTTTTTTTTTTTTTAATGATAAAGAAAGGAAGAAGAATGAAAGGGCAGTGCGGAATCTCCAGCAGTGATTGTCAGTGGCGTAGGGAAGAAGAAGGATATCTATTCTGCTTGGCAGCCGCTGTCTTTATAGCGAAAAAGGAGCTACGGTTTTTTGTTTGTTGATTAGGATCTTTTCCCTTGATTCCAGTTTATCCCTACCTTTCCAAAATAATATTTTCATGATTTTCAGCCCTCACATCTCGACATGGAGGATATTTTTTTATTAAATTTCAAAAAATCTATCTTTTCTTTAAATGGTCTACAGATCGCGACACAAGTCTTGAGCAAAGCTTGTCTCCATTACACGCAGGGCCTTTAAACTTCAAGTGCTGCCTTGGCTTAGTTGAACATAATTATGGTCTCATCTCGCTGCCTTGGCTGCAAGCTGTGTCCAAGGGTTAGTTGTGCTTATCCCTTCAGAGGTGTAAGCTTTGGGTAAGACTTATGTGCGTGGGCCAAAATCTAATGTTGCTGCAGGGTCTAAGCCCTTGCCCAAGGCTTAGACTGTGATAGATGGTTGTTTTGTTTCTTTTTCAGCTGTTCTTTTTATATTTTAAGCATCATCAAAATTAACAAAATAATAACTTAATTAGGTAGTAAATAATTAATTTTAAACAAACAAAAAGTAGACGATAAGAATGTTGTTTTTGCATCCTATCAAGATACCTCCGAATTCAAATTTTGAAATACTGGTAATTCTTGGTGAAACTGGTGATGGTGTGATGAATTGGAGGAGAGAAATTTAGGTGGCAGAACCAAAAGCATTTAGAATGAAAAGAGTTTGGTTTTGGGAATGATCTTGAGATTTTTATTCATGGTGATTTTGAAGTATGAGTTGAGGAAGAATATTAATAAGCATACTTAAAATTTACTTAGTGAAGTGTTTAAATGTTTATAGAATCAAGAATAATAAACTTTCATATAGAAATTCATTAGAGAGCTTGACTATTCTCATGATTTTATAATTAAAATAAAAAATTTATAAACCTAATTTTATTTAAATTACCAAAATTTATCTCTCGAACTAAAACATAATAATATGTACAATAGTTATGCCATTTGACTTATTTTCTTGTTAAAATTAAACAGAAAAAATATAAACTCATTTAATCTTTGGTATTTGCTTCTTTGCATAATTCTGCTAATGCCCACTTCAATCTTTTGTATTATGATTGATTTGTACAGGACATAAAAAATATCAGTTGTGTTAAGTACACTTGTTTAGGACATTGATAAATTATTAAATTAACATATTTCGTTTTAAATATTTTATTTTTATCTAAATATAATATTAATTTCTCTCTTCCCCCTCGGCAAAGACTTAAAAACTTAGACATAGTTTGATTTGGTCTTAAAACTCAAAAATAACCAGTAAGAAAATCATGGAAAAATAAATCTCACTCACTATGTATACAATCACAAGAAAATAAAATACAAGTATGAAAATAATAATATGATTTGCTCAGCAAGTAAGAAGAACTTTTATACTAGAATTAATTTAAGAGTGAATTATCAATACAGTTGTGAACCCCTTACATTGATAAATTAGAAAGTTTTCCTCTCAAAAAATTTAGTATATACATAAAATATTTTTCAAAAATAATTATAAAATATAAAATATCTCTATAACCAAACCACATCAAATTGATGAATTTGAATTTTGGTTCTCATCAAATCCCAAAATAAATAAATAAAACAATCACGAAAATTTAAAAAGAAAAATACTTCTGCAATCTTCAATGGAGAAGCATGAGAAAGACAAAAAAGAAAGTCATTGATCTCCTCTGCAGACAGAAATCTGGAACTCATCAAAGCTTTAAATCACATAAAAGGCATCAATGTTTTATTAAAAGGACTGAAACACCAAACTCTAGTATATCCATTTTAAAGCTCACACAAAAACTTTTAGCCAACAAACAAAATCCTCTACCACATATTCATTTTCCCCAACTATAACATAAATATAACTCATGCAAGGAAATTCCAACAACTCTTTTCATATGCTTCAAGAGTCAGCAAAACTTATTATCAAAGCAATCACCAATGTTGCGCCAGTGCAGAAGATTCGGAGTTTTACTCATGCGACTGTTTCTCCATTGGCTTCCTTGGTGTTTTCATGCTTGTCAAGTTGGCTGAAGTTACCCTTTCTCCTTGAACAGCTGGTTATGGTGATGCCTACAATAGAGACGATGTTCGTGGGCTATATAGTTTGAGGGACTGATGACACAGCCTCCATGGGTGCACCTGAAACAACCCTTGTGGTATGACGTCCCATCCACTGCAACCTGAAATATGCAGAAGAACGTTTTTGGGCTATAAAGTTTTGAAGTATTTGTTCATTAAACTTATTGGAGATCAAGACATACGAAGCACAGAGGTCCAGTTTCACAAAATGGGATACTGCTAATGATGATCAATTGTACAAGAACAAAACATATGGATGTATATGACAATATTTTTGAAAGAGACGCCCGCTATAGGGTGAAAATTTTTTCATCACAGACAGCAGGAAACAGAAATTTTTGGGCTCATCAATGTCAAATTACCTGAGATATACAGCATCAACTATCTAATTTTACCTTTTCAATCGGGTAAACGGTTTTCTTGCATGCAACACATTTATCCTGAGTTCCAGCAAACATGCTTGAAACTCTGCTGTTGCTGTGGACCTACATGAAGTGCACTTGGTCATATCTTTTGATAGATACCAGTTTACTGACCCAAACTCTAAGTATATTCATTTGTATGACTGAAGAACTACGAAACTCCAGATCATTAGATACCTGATCAGCAGATCTCTCGACCCTAACAGTTTTGGGAGTTCCTAGAAAAGAAAAATAAAAATTAGATCATCAATATGCTCATATAAGTGTTGATTACACCAAAAAAAACACAGGAAAAAAATAAAAATAAAAACAGGCGAGCACCTTCAAAGCTTTTATCCAAGCTGCCGGTCATTTTAAACAGTTGATCAAAGTGAGGCTTGCAATACAAAACACCCTCAAAGGAGCTATAGTTACTCAGCTGCATAGATGAAGAAAAGGAGAATAAATGTGAAGAAAAATATAGAAATGAACTGGGTAAAATCATGCTGATAGACATCTAAATCAAAGCTGAGTCATTTTTATGCTATAATAGCTACATCATAGAAAGGCTGAAGATTACAAACTTCACACCATAAATAATTTAAGATTCAGATGGCAACATTTTCAACTTTCGATTTGCCAATATAGGACCTGAGTGAGAAATATTATCATGATCAACAGAAAAGTAAAACTAGAGCATTCCACATTTCAATCATTAAGATAAGAATGTGGCAAGAACCAAAAGCAGTAATGCTGCCAATGGGGTGATGAGACAGCAAGGTGCCAGATAAATGAATTAATCCACAGAAGAATAAACGAAGATGATGTGGTTCCTGTAAGAAGATGACATAGGAAATTTCAAAGGTTCCGATCAGAGATTCTTTAAAGCTAAACACTGATCATCATTAACTGGTAGAACACTCCCCCCTGTTGCCTTCCATTTCCTACTTCTCTTCACTAAAACAATAATAGCAAATAAGAGCTTTTCACAATCCAGATTTATTCTAAATTTCAATAAAACTATTGAGTTTTCCTCCTCAGCCCGAAATTGAATCCTCTCTTAGATACCAAATTAAACTGTAAAATGAATATATAAAGAATACACAAATCTTTATCATGCTTTTCAATTTCCGATAATATTATGATTTAACATCTTCTTCGCATCCTTCAATGAGTAAACCATGCCTCACAATTAAGGATAGGCCTAGGAATGGCTTTGTAAGAGAAAAAAAGGGTAAACACAACTGCACAAGGGATGCCAAAGAAGATAGGGATCAATCATAAACCAATAGATGATTATGATGCTTACTATTTAATAACCCAATACATACACAAACACAAGCACACCACACACGCAAATATGTTCTTTTACAGAAAACGATGAGAAGGAACTGGAAAGGGAAGT